CAAAGGCTTGAAAAGCTCCCGGTCTTGATGCCTGTGGCCGCGTCTGACCGCCACCTCCTTCCCTTGTGAGTCTCACATGGCCTCATTTCCAAATCCACGGAGTCATCGTTGAGCCTGTGGTTCCTCCATCCGTTCTTTTTCTTGAAGTCCTCTCTAACCTAACCCCAGGGAGCATGAAGTCAACCATCCTCACCAATGCCTGGACTTTCTTGACTTCCTATCCCTCTTCACTCTCAGGCTGCAAAGCTCTTGCCTTAAGTCTGTTCAGCCACTGTGCATAGGCTGCTGTGATTGGGTGTGTTGGAGACACTGCAGATGTATTGCCTTGTTTTTTTGTTTGTTTGTTTTTTTAGAGCCTCGCTCTGTTGCTCAGACTGGAGTGCAGTGGCGCGATCTCAGCTCACTGCAACCTCCGCCTGCCGGGTTCAAGTGATTCTCCCGCCTCAGCCTCCCAAGTAGCTGGGATTACAGGCACATGCCACTGCGCCCAGCTGATTTTTGTATTTTTAGTAGATACAGGGTCTCACCATGTTAGCCAGGCTGTTCTCGAATGCCCTGCCTCAGGTGATCTGCCTGCCTCAGCTTCCCAGAGTTCTGGGATTACAGGCATGAACCACTGCGCCCAGCCTGATCTATCATCTTTAATGTCAGCCAAGCCCTTGACCAAGGCAGGTGTGTTGCTCTTCCTCTGTGTCCCATAGCAGCCTGTCCAGACCACGGCCAGCCACTTCTCCCACTGTGCCACTGACCAGGGCCCTCATCTCTCGCCCTAGCCTGTACAGTCAAGGACTCTCCTATGTAGCCCTTGCAGGGCACCTGGCTGATGGCAGCTTTCACTAAATGCTTATAACACTAGTGAGTAAGTGCTTCACGTGTCCATGGGACTCTTGACCTGAAGCATATGATAACTACCGTGATTTTAAAAGCCTGCAGTGGTAGAATTTCGGGAGAGGGAGGCAGCCGGGAGCCAAGAGCTACTCCAGGAAACAGGTGTGACAAAACTCAACAATGCAGTTTCACATCACGACAGAAGAGAGTGCACACAGAGGAGCAGTGCGAGTTCTCTTCTGGTGCTGGTTTACGACCTTTCTGTTTTCCCTTCTTTGTTTGCCTTTTCCTAACTGTGAGTTCAGTGCCCCCCTGGCCATTCGTCTTCCTCTTCAGCCCTGTGAGAATGGGGGTAAATGTTGAGAAGGGACCTGAAGAGAGTTCATAAGTAAAGAAGGCTGTCATCACCATTATTGTTATTGCTATCACTATTACTAGTAGTGTGGTTCTTAGTAGCCCTAGGAACATGAGGATGAAGACCATGTCAGATGGACATTGCCCCCTTGACTTGTAAATTCCCATTCTTGGATATTTGGCACTCTTGCTTGGACTAACAAGTGTCTATTTGGCAGCAAATGAGATGGGGCTGTAAGCCAGCAAAATCTCAAAGCCAGGCTGGGCGCGGTGGCTCATGCCTGTAATCCCAGCACTTTGGGAGGCCAAGGCGGGC